AGAACGCTGCCATAGCCCATGCAGCAGCAGTCTGCACTCAGCGACGGATCACATGTAAGTGGCTCAAATATTTACCCTTGTATTTCTGTGCTTAAGGCTTCTGTTTTTAATGCAGGCACGTTGTTAATTTGTTCCCATGACAATCTATCGGTTTTGCGAGTGTCTCCTTTATTAGTCTAGCAGTTGGCCCAAGAGTCTGTCCGCTGGTAATATCACAGAATAAGAGGAAACATTCCATGTGATGAGATGATATACATGTCCAAAAGATGCAGAGAACTCAGAAGACAAAATAAAGACCAGCAGCTATTTTCTTCCTTTGACCTGAATCATGGTGACCCGTCTTTCAATCGGAAATCTCCAGCTCTGCCAGGATTTGAAGCATCTGCACAGTGATAGCCTGAAATGTTGCCAAGGTTAGTCCAACTCCACCCAGATGCTCCCGAGTGCTGCATCATTTTCAGAACTGGATTTAATACAAATTCGGGCTCTGAATAGAAACTCTTTTTTCTGGCTTCTTTTCTTTCTTGCTTCCTATTTTTTTTCTTTGTTCCATCTATTCTTCCTGCCTCACCAATTTCCTTTATTTCCCTCATTCTCTCTCATTCTCTTTGCCTTTTTGCTTTTTATTCTTTCATTCATCCCTACGTTTTCTATTTTTCTTTCCCATTTGTTCTGCTTTTCTTCCTTATGTCCTACCATCACCTCTTGCAATTCTTCCTGCCTTCATTTCTTCCTGTCCTCCATTCATTCTTTGTTGAATACTTTTTTTTATTCCTCTTTTTTCCCTTCTTTCCTGGCCCCACTCATTTACTCTCATTCTTCCTGCTTTCCTTTTTTCATTATATACTGCCTTCCTTTGCTTCCTTTATTAACTTATTTTTGTCCTGAAATTTACCTTCCCTTCCCTTATTCTTCCTTCCTTCCTCTCTTTCTGCTTTCTTTCTTTCCTTCTTTCTAAGCGTTTTATTTCCTCCATTCTTTCTCATCCTTTCTCCCAGATTTCCTTTCTTTTATTCTTTTATAATTGTATTTCTTTCCTTTATTCTCTCTAATCTTCCTGCCTTTCAACTTTTCCTTATTTCATTTATTCTGCATTCTTTTCTTTCCTTCCTCTCTGCTTTTCTCACTATCCTTTATTCTCTCTCTTCCTGCCTTTTGACTTTTCTATATTTAATTCTTTCCTGCTCTCCTTTCTTTCTCTCATTCCTATTCATCCTGAGCTCCGTTATTTTGCTTCCTTCACAACTCTTTTTATATCCTTTCATTCTTCCTGTCTGTCTGCTTTGCTTTTTTTTTACTTCCTTCATAGTTTCCTTTCTTTCAGTTGTTTCCTTTCATTCTTCCCTATTTGTTTACTGCTTCCCTTTATTTCTTTCCATCTGAGGGCTGTAAACCCAGAAGTGCACAGAGCAGAGCACTCCTGGATTTACACTACAGAGGAGTAGCAGATATATATCATTAGCAGCAAGAGGTTTTAAGTCCACTTGTGAGGACAGTAATAGAGAGTAAGATCTTTCAACTATTTTACTGGGAACTCAAAGTACAAAAGTTATCAGAATCATCATAGGCCCTCCAGCAGGTCCATTTAGTATGGACTCTTTCTGGATCCGTACTAACTTCAACAAGGGTCACCATTGCCATAATGTCATTGAGTATCTGGGCCCACTTGAGGATATGGGGAGGGGCTGTAGAGTTCCGAGACATAGCGACAGATATGTCCAACAGGCAATGGCACAATATTCCTTATTTAATACTAGATCATTTGCAGAAAGGCATTTTCAGGAGAAGCTTGGATGTTAGAAATACACATTGAGTTATAAGAAACAAACACCTTTTACCAAAATGGTGAAATCAGGCAGCATTCCCATCAAATATGTAAGAAAGATCCATCACTTTCCTAACACCTCCATCAGACCTTTGCTACATGCGCATAGTTTTAATACATTCTTCAGTTACAAGTTGGACCAGCACCCAAAATTTGTTGCAGATCAGGGTGGACTGACTTGAGGCAATATATTTTTTTTTTTAATTTACTCTGGGCAAAAAAGTAGCTACAGACTAGCTACTGTACTTAAACTTTTCATTCACATCTGTACGTGTTCCACATTGTTTGAAGGATGAGGTGCTTGAGCATAGGTCCTCTTTAAGAGGCCAACCAAACCTTGAGCAAGTTCAATCACACCAATTACTTTCATTGTAAATTATTTGGACAGGATTATTCAAGGTCTACAGACCAAGAGAGGTACAGTCAGATACATCTGAGTTCTGTGAAAGAAACTTGTCATCAAGAAAGATTATCATTTACATACATTATATCAATAAAAATTATAAATAAAAAGTGGGTTACAACATGTTAACAGATGCTGTCTAAGTAATATATAATAATTTTCTTCAAGTAGAATTTTGTATCAATGCCAAAGAATCTGAACACAGTCCACAGTGGATCCTTGGCGACCCCAAACACAAAGAAAATCAAGTCCATTTTTCTTTGGTTTTCAAAACATATGACCTCTCTAAACAACATGTAACCAAACTAACACAAGAGTCTCTGATTTTAATTATACTTTTAACAGGACAACACAAAAGAGCGCCAACGCAGCTGGGTGGTTTCTGAATAATCAGACATCACATATATGAAACAAAGATGTTACTTCCTTTGGCCATCACTGGCTAAGGGTGCAAAGTAAATGTCAAATAATTATACTCATTGTGCTCAAATGTAAAGGAAGGGGGGAGGCACGCTCTTTAAAGAAGAGAAAGGATTGTGATTAAAATGAGATCATTCATAAATACAAAATATACTGTAGCTGATAAGGAAGGAAATGAAATGGCACAAACTAAAATATTAATTCAGCTAAAAAGTTGTGAAATAAAACTTTTCAAAAAAATTGCCTAGTGACACAAAACTCTCTTTTTCATCAAGCTACAAATTTCAACTGTAAACCCAGTTAAAGAAATATCTACTTTGCTTTTAGATAAATCCAAATTCCACTCCAGCTCTCTCTCCCCTCGTGACAGCAATGGGAAACTATCAAGCTTTGGCACTGCCACATAAAATCAGCCTCATGGCCCTCTAAAAATGGGAATACAGTAGTACCCCGGTTTATGAATTTAATGCATTCTCTGGATCGTTGCGTATTGCACAAAATTCATAAACTGAAACATGGTTTCCCATAGGAATGCATTGAAAACCAATTCATCTCTTCCGGAGGTCAGAAAAAAGTAAAAAAAAGTATTTTATCTGTCCAAAACTTTATAAAGTGCACTTTACAGGGCATAAATACTGTACAGGGACATTTTAAAAAAATTCCAGAATGGCTCCAAAACTTGATGAAAAAAACACTCTGACACCTCCAACACCTCTACACTCGTTGCCACGTGTTACCCAGACTCCATCATGCACAGGGGCGGCGCTAAAAACCTCCTAGGCGCAATGCATCCTGTGGAAACTTGCTTTGTATTGCGAAAAAAATTCATAAACCGAGGCATTATTTTCAATGGATTTTCATTCGTAAATTTGAAAATTACGTTAACGGAGGCGTTCGTAAACCGAGGTACCACTGTATTGGTATTTTTTTTCTCTCCCAGCACCTAAACAGTGAGTACTGGTGCTAAAGGGCATTAAACAAAACCAATTGTTTCTCTTGCATGGGTTTGAGCACAGGTTTGCTTTAAGGATGTGTGAAAAGGGGAATACTATATGCTGCCCATCAAGGACCACCATAGTTAAAGAGATCCATTTAAGGAAAAAAGACAGTGCCTTATGATAGCCAAACCCCCAACAAGCTATGCTTACCCATGTCTGCTCCCTTGCTGCCTCCACACTTTGTCTGAGCCCTTGCTCATTTACTCAAATAAAGTGGGTCTTTCAGATATGGAGGACCTAAACAACCAATCACCAGGCATGAACACTGTTAACTGGGGGGAAGTAATGTCACTCGCCCAGGTAGGCTCAGACAGCAGCAGGGTGAGCTCCTGTAGTAGGAAAGTAGCAAGGTAGGATGCATGCCCTAAATGGGAAGGTGACGGGGTCCCTTTTAGATGGAAAACAAATGTAAATAGGGCAGCAATGTAAGTCACCAACAACTGGTGTGAACCTCAGCAAAATGTTGCTATTTCTAGTTATGTCCCTTATCAAGCAGTAATACTTTATTGGGTGAAAATAACATTAGTAATTGGGGTAAAATGGAAAGTATAAAGGTAGTCATAGGCAGCCTTCCCAGCACAAGACCCTTTTAAATAAAAACAAAAGTAGTCACCCCTGGACTGTTTTATTCTTTTTTTCTGCAGCTGGAAACCACGGAGGAAGGTAGAGTGAGTAAACATTGCTTTTGCTGCCCCCTAAATTGCATCATACCTTATCTTTGGGTAGTATCAGCTCTTTCCACTGTAGACAATCTGGGGAATTAATTAAACTTCCTGCATCATTATAATGCTGAAAAAAACTTTCAGAAGTGGCATGCACCACATTAACTAAGCAGATAAATCTGATTTAGGTCTATCTGCATCACTCACACCAATTTCTATTTCTGCGTGAAGTAGAAACTAATGCAGCCCTGCACCTAATTAACAGAGGAAATATGACATTTTTCCATCTAGAAATGTGAGCTGTCAGCAGATAGCTCACATCCCTCTGTTTGTCCATTCGGTATTTACACCACACGAGCAGAGCCTTCAGGGTGTACAAACATCCTACTCGCTCCTGCTCTGAGCTGAGCAGGGGTGGGGATGGGCAGAGAGATCGGAGCATGCAGTTCCAGCTCTCTGTTCTCTGTGCTATATCTGCCACAGCCAGAGAACATGTAGCTTCCACACCTTTGTTAATTAGGGGCAGCATCTGCTCTATTTGTTTGTTTAGAGGAGAGGTGCAAGCATTGTGCTTGTACTACTCTTTGTTAATTCCACCCAATGTATGCATTACTTTTGGCTTTGTCAATGTCCAAACTAGAAAACACTATAAAGAAACATAGACAAACAAACATAGATATACATATATGTACCTTGTTCATTTCTGAATCCTCTTGTAAAGCTTTGGATTGGCAGGAGAATATTTTATAAAGAACAGATTTTGTTTTCAGCACAACATAGAAGAATGATTTGGGACTCGGAACTAAGTTGAAAGGTACTGGCAGGGTCCTCCCTTCCTCAAAGTAGGAAAACCAAAGTTTAGCTCTGGCAAATTTCCATTCCACATCAGCATCATCCTAAAAACATTACAAAACGATGCCTTATTAGAAAGGGTTACTTTTATACATGGTTATATGGCATAAAAAAAGCAAAAGTGCATATAGTAATAAACTAAGAATGAAAACAGTTCATTGAAGTACATGCAATTTAAATACTGTTAGTTGCAACATGCTTACCCAGCCACAAAGGTGACTAGATCAGATGTAACTGACCTACCAACACTAGTCTATGATCTAACAGAAACATGTGAGTCCTCTAAAACAGCCTTTCTCAACTAGCGTGCCCAGTAACCCTGGGGCGCCTTGTAGTTTCCTCAGGGGTGCCTTGACAAAATGTCTAAAAATTACCCAAAACCTGTATACAAGCAAGCGGGTGGAACAAGCCTTATATAGTTACACAAAGCCACAGGTTTTCATTGTGCATCAATATGACCTTCTACCCGCTGGGGTCCTGACAACCAATGGCATCATCAGTTGATATGAAGCATGTCAGCTGCCTGCACAGTATCCTAGTTTAACCCTCCCCTGCCTCTCTCCTTCAGTGCTGAGGTCACATTAGCTCAGTGATGGAGAAAAACTGAGGGAGAAGAGAAACATACTACATGGAAATGCTACTCAGTACCAGTGTGCAAAAGTGTATTTGCTTTGGAAGAATAAATCACCTCTAATGTTGGGTGTCCTACATGTGTGGATGTTGCTGTGTTATATAAAACTATTAGAATAGTTTTTAACATTTTAGAATGGGGTGCTCTTTTAAAATTATGGACAATCTAGAGGCACCCCATTTTAGAATGGGGCACCTCGAGACTGTCCATAATTTTAAAGCATGCCTTGACCGAAAAAAAAAACGTTGAGAAACTCTGCTCTAAAACATAATTCTAGCCCATGTGTTCTGGTTCTGGATAGAGTAGTGAACAGTTGGAACATCTGCCACTTTTTTATAAATATATGTGCCCTCAATTCAGAGATCCACCTCACTATCTGTACTGAGCCTCTCTGGTAACCATTCTCTGAGAGTGGATTTTCTTTCATTTTATGGAGATTTCTTTTTATGTCCTGTTGTGCTTCTTGGGACAAAAAGTAGGCATAAATTTCCCTGATGAGGATGCATAAAGCAATACAAAACTGAAACTGGTTTTAACTCTTCCCGTTTCTATCCAAAACAAAAAAAGGGGGGCATCAAATTTAAATACTAGTTTCTTGATGTTTTACTGACGTATTGTCACATGGATTGAGTCGCACTTTCCTTTCTTTGGCTCCTGACACAACACGCACTACTGGCAGAACAAAGGGAAAGATAAGTATTTGCTGCTGCACAAGGGGATTACACCAGACCTGTTGCTCTGGTCTGTTTTTTTTGTTAGATGCTGGAGAGTTGAACTACCTGACATTGATATCCCCAAGGGTTGATGAGATTTCTGTTCTTGCCAGGTCTGTACAACTGCTGTGGCCATTGCAAGAGATTTCTACTCTCCCTGATGGATTCTTACCAAATAAGAATGCAACAAGAAATGCTGGAATGCACAGGTGAGTCTGGATACTCAAAAATCCCAGATGGACAAGATAATAATCAAGAATCATAGCAGGGAGATCTGTCTGTTGCAGAATGCAAGACAAAAAGAAGCTGGGGCTGACTCAGCCTACCAGGCACTACCTATAACTAAAATATTACGTTTGGATGGACAAACCCTTAAATTAGCAAGATGTTCAAGAAAGGAATTGGGTGAAATTCGGCTTTCAAGCAACATTGTAATGTTCAGTGAAAGCTTTTGTTTAACAACATTGTAAACTTTTATTAAAGGCCAGTTTCCATTATTCATTATGCAGCGGGTTCTATGCCAGCTGAAAGATTTATTATATGATTTTCTTTCTGACTCCAAAGGCTCCAGTTGTATTCAACATCCAGCCAATCATTGTAACATTGGCAATTTTTCCCCTTTGACAGAGTGCAGGTTGAGCTTATATCATAAATATACCCTGGGTGCCTTTTATCTTTTTTATATTCTCGGCAATATATTGGCAGCAACCAATAAACAGGCATTGCTGTTATTATCCTCTGATCCTGACTGATGTTGAGGATCTTGTAGCAGTATTTTAAACAGATGTTGATGGAGCCACAACAAACGGGAATGGCACCAATGAGGAATAGGCTAAATGTTCCTGGCTTTAATTCACAGGACATTGATGATTTCTCATGTTGTGCAGACAGGAATATACCAATTATTCGTAGCTGGAAAAGACAAACTAAGTCAGCAAGGCAATGTATTCGAAAGCTTACAGACTGGCAGATCAATCACTGAGGGTGGCAGGTTCTGACATATCTGACCATCCTCACTGGAATCTATACACTGTCTATACCCTTCATGATCTGCATCTCAACCCAACATCCATGGACAAGACACACATCTGCTGAAAGTGTATGGCTTTTCCTACACCGAATATGGGGCGATCACCAGGCATAGATTTTCCAGATTCTCTGCAAATAATCACAAGTGCTTCAAGTGCTCAGTATCATTTATTGACAGTCTGTTGTTAGGGGCTTTTAACAAATGAAATGCTTCTTAAAAGGGGCATAGTACAGGGGCGGCACTGTGGCTAAATGGTTAGCACTTCCATCTGGCAGTACTAGGGTCATTGGTACAAATCCCAACCACAACACCACCCACCTGGAGATTGCATGTTCTCCCTGTGCCTGCGTGGGCTTCCTCCAGGTACTCTGGCTTCCTCCCACGCTCCAAAGACATGCTGGTAGGTGAATTGGATCCTGTCTAAATTGGCCCATGTATGTGTATGTATGAATGTGAGTTAGGGACCTTAGATTGTACACCCCTTGAGGGTTAGGGACTGATGTGAATGTAAAATATATATGTAAAGCACTTCAAAAATTGACAGCACTATATAAGTACCTGTAATAATATAGAATGACAATATAATGTCTGAATAAAAAGCTGTATTGTACCTTTAAAATCTGTAATTAAAGAGATTGTAAAGGATTTTTTCATGAATTAACAAACATGTTATATTAACTGCTCTGTGCATTGGCTTTGCACAAAGCAGCCCAGATCCCCCTGAAAGGGGGGCACTCATGCAGGCTTGATTGTGTCTATTGGCTCAGTCCCCCCCTCCCTTGTTCCCTTGTCACTTGAATTTGATTGACAATAGCAGGAGAAACTCGCACTGCTCCAGTGAGGAGGAAGAGCAGAGAGAGAGAGAGCAGCGCTGGTGCTCTCATGCACAACAGTGGACTCAAGTAAGCATTTAGGAGGGGTAGGGGAGAGCAGCACCTAAAAGGCTTACCCCAGGAACCCGAAGACCAGTGAAAACAGTTTCAAGTGAGGACATCGATGGATCCCTGGACAGGAAAATGTCTATTTATTAAAAGTCAGCAGCTACAGAATTTGTAGACCGTAATTAAGGCTTAATGGCGCCAATCAGAAGCTGGAAATAAGAAACCCCGCTGGTGAAAGGAAATGAAGGGACCAGCAGCATGCTGAGGTTATTCCAGTGTCTTGTGTGAAGGTGAACAAGCAACCGCCGCTGAAGACAGGCCCCAGGAGTCGGACATAGAGTATGTGGAGTGGCTTCAGCACTGGTCTAGCCACTTTCACTGATGCGTTTCGCCCCGCCCATCAGTGGGCTTGGTCACAGTGGCCTCTGTGAAAAGCCCCGATGGGCGAGGCAAAACGCGTCAGTGAGGATGTGGCTAGAGCAGTGCTGCGGCCACTCCACATACTCTACATGTCTGACTCTTGGGGCTGGTCTTGTACAGAATTTGTAGCTTCTGAATTTTATGTTTTTTTTCTAGAGTGAAAAACCACTGTAATGCAAAGGATTAATTAAGTTAAAAAACCTTTTGCCTTTACAACTACTTTAAGGTTCAGCCTAGGCCGAGATGATGCCATCAGGCTGGTGCAAGTAACAGGACGTATTTCCAGCAGCACTACAGTAAGGAGAAAGGCTGATCTGTTTGAAACAACACCAGACCCACCATGTAGGCTTCAATATTTACATATTTGTGCTACCCAGGGTCGGACTGACAACTTATGGGGTCCCCGGGCAATAGGGGATCATGGAGCCCCTGTGTCCTTGCCCAAACTCAAAAAAGCCTATGAAAAAGGTACCAGGGGCATCTCATGGGGCCCCCTACTGACCCCGGGCCCTCGGGCACTGCCCGAGTTTCCAAATGGTCAGTCCGCCCCTGGTGCTACCATTGGACTGGCAAATAATGCTGAACCTGGAAAATGCCTGAACAAAAATGGCACTGGCCTTCTGAGAACAAACATAAAGGCATTGTTAGTAGGAGCATCATGATCTCTATGATAGTTAATAAAACCTTATGAGTGTTACACAGACACATTACTTAGCATGCTTGTTCTTAAAATTAAAGTAAAGTCCACGTTTTAACTTGTATCTACAAGTACACCTATAATAAGGCTTACCTGTAAGTATAGTGAGTATCTTCTAAACTTGAACCATTTAGAAGATATTCACATGGGATGCAGCCATTGATATTACCTACGCATTTCTGTGCCGAACCTTCAGAGCTCTGAGCCTGGGCTCCCGTACGCATGTGCAGGAGTGACATCATCACTGCCCCAGCCATTCATACAGTTCATAACACTATGCCGTGGTGTTCAACTCCAAACAATATGATGCAATGCAAGTGATCACACAATAGCTTCAGGTGATGGTAAGTGACTCTCCTCCTGTGGTAAAATTGCCCCCTCACCTCCACTCTACGGCCCAAAGGGCCTATACGCCTTTAAGATCACTCAGGATCTTGATCCACAATAGATAGAAATCACCAGCCAATCTCCCATAGGATACCCATCCGGTAGGTATTCAGGATACACTGGCTCCTGGTCTCAGCACGATATACCTCTCTCTCGGATGACATAAGCATAGGAAGCATCTCTCAGAGCGTAATAAGTTGCACAATGAGTATTTAATAGGATATATAAACAACTCACATGCAAATGTTCAAATCCACAGTTCATAGGGATGTATGGGTGTACTGCATGGGTATCCAAGTACACTAAGGTGTCCTAAGATGGCGGCCGTACTGGAAGTACATCACTGCCAAACCGGATGCTGCGTCATCGCATATCGACGCGTTGCGTCACCGTCACGTGACTTTGTCATGATATCTTCACATCAGTGAGTGGCACTGGGGGACACTTTTATTATTGAGATTTATTTCTCTAAATAATCACATTGTTTGGTCACCTTTTTTGCATGCATAGATGTGTGACATGTTACTGTGATTAGTTTTTCATATATATGTTATTCACATTATATGTCTAGCGCTGCACTAATTGATTATATGTGATTGTATTATTACTGTTGGGTACCAGTTTGAGTGCTAGCGGCTCTTTGATTGGTATAGGGACTCCATTGAGCGCAGGACTACGTATTATTATACTCTTGTAGGTTTAGAGTTTTCTCTAGAATGGGATAGGGCTGAGTATAAAGCATCAGCAAAAGCATAACATATCTGAGGGTAAAGGACTCCCTTGTTGGAAGGAGTGCAAGTCTGAGTGGGTTAACTTTCCCAAGGATAGGTTCCTACCAGGGGCAGACTGACCATTAGGAAACTCGGCCACTGCCCGAGGGCCCAGGTCAGTAGGGGCCCCATGAGAGGCCCCTGGTACCTTTTTCATAGGCTTTTTTGAGTTTGGGCAAGGACACAGGGGCCCCATGATCCCCTATTGCCCGAGGGCCCCATGAGTTGTCAGTCCGCCCCTGGTTCCTACCAGGATGAAGGGAACCCACACAAACCTTGAAAAATGCACAATGGTGTGCAGTAAATCCAAAAGGGTGAAGGCAGCTGAAGGAGAACCCCAAGTTGAAGGTCTAAAGTGCCGACTTAAACTGAAACTATGGTTAGCTCCACTTCAGCAATTACTAGCTGCTTTTGCTGGCAGCTGACATCTTCAGTCTGTTTTTCTTTCGGATTACAATCATTGGTCATTTTGATTGGTGGGGCCGGATTGATGTTACTCCCACGAGTTCATTCATCTCGGCAGATGCCGAATTTTTACACTGAGCTGCATGTGTACATTGTGAGCAAGCAGATAAGAATACCCTAAAATTATTATAATTATTATTATACAGGATTTATATAGCGCCAACAGTTTGCTCACACAATACAGAAGAGACATAGGGGTGGATTTACTAAAGGTAAATAGACTGTGCACTTTGCAAGTGCAGTTGCATTAATTTTTCCCAGATTTTAGTGAATGTAGGAAAGCTCTGCTGATTTCATCATCCAATTATATGCAAGCAAAAATGTTTTTTTTGTTTTTTTTTCTTGCCCCTGATTGGGTATTATTTACAAAGTGCGCAGTCTATTTGCCTTTAGTAAATCAACCACATAGTATGTCTCTTCTGCTATAAAATTTCTGCATGATCACAAATATTTATTTATTAAGTTCCATTTTAAGCACAGAAATGCTGTGGAGGCAAATTACCCACAATCTGGAATGATAAACAAAGAGTCTCCAACATGTGGAAAGAGGGCCCAACTTCATGCAGAAGGCTGAGAAGACATGTAGCCAAAGTGCCCTATACATGTGAAAGGGCAATGTGAGAAACAAGATTAGATGCTTGCAAAAGGCCAGCTAAAGTGCAAAGCTCCAAACATTTGCTCAAAATGTATAATGGAATAAGAGTCAATTCTGGTAATGACAGGGTTTATTAGATTTAACCTAAAGTGACACAGTTTCACAAGGAGGAAAATTATTCCAGATAATTCAAACTGGAACCTAAATTTTTCATCTAACTGCCTATCAGTGAAACCCAAAAGGTGGGAACATCATCTACCCATCTGGCAGTATGCCTGTTTACATGGATTTCTGGAGCATCGACAGTAGGGAAAGGCTGGGAAGCAAGAAACTCTCTGTCAAAGGAGAAAAGCTCTGCCACATTCTCTGAAGGGTCCCAGGATCCTACAGGGTGTTTACAGTCCTCATAGAAGAATTACTTAAGCAGTGAGTGAAACAGAAAGGTCTTTGCAGCTGTGGGAGCTCTTAAAGAGTCTAGGCCTGGTAAAATAGGCTGATCCTCTAAATGCAGGGTATTTAGGGTATCTAATTCTGAATAATAGATCGTAAAAGTTGACTCAGGCATGATGTGAGTTGAAGGCTCAGAAGGGTAGAGCTGGACGTTGACTGTGCTGAGCATATTGCTGCAGCAATTGGGTCCTTGTAGACATGGGAAGCCTCAGCCTCGCTCATCAGAGCTGAAGAAACCTCTGATGGTGACAACTCTATAATAATAGGGTTCTCAGGTTCTACATTACAGGCATAAATTCAATGGGGATACAATATAAACACTTCCAGAACAAGAAGGAGAGTATGGACTGAGATCACCCTTTGCAGTGAGACTATTAAAGGAAGTTGAAGCTTAACAGACTTATTTCACCATATAAAAAAGAAACTAAGTTGCAAGGGTGACTAAAATAAACAAAGACTACTTTGTTAATGCTAGTGACTGGCATCATATATGTCCTTTTTGATTTTGTCTTTAGTATCACTTTAAACCTGGAGTTTTGCTTTAACAGCTGCAACACTGTCCTTCACTATACTGAGAATGCTCTAACAATAAGTAAAGAGATCCTTTTTACGATGGTTTAAGAAATATAATTCTGTTGTTGGTTCTTTCCAAAGGGGACATGCTGTGGATATCTGCTACTTTGAAGTTTGATAAATGGAAAATCTCCAACAATGGAAGTGAAGAATTCATGGGAACACAGTGCTCAGTATCTAAAACATGAAGTACTTTAGATAAAATGAAGCATAAAACTCAGGCAGAATTTTAGGCTTTTTAAATAGCATTCCGTACCAGCCCTAGTGACTTTCTGCAGGTTCTCCAAGACCTAAAAGCTGTGAAAATGCCCCTCCTGTCCAACACTGGATCTCATTAATGAACCTCTCAATTTTTTGGTGCCTGCTATGGCTACAGATTTTTTTAGTCTTATACATTACCAACAATAAAAATAGTATAATGCATAGAATGAATGAGAAGGGTGCACTGCATTTTTGATTGCTTTCAAAGTAATGAAGAAGTGAAATATTTAAAATAATGAAAGGCACCTTTTATTTTCTTAATCAGCTTGACATACCTCTATTCTACATTAGTTATGCATGTCCCGTCACCATGTGACAAAAGAAAACGACAAAGAAATACTAAGGATGTATATGTTTCTTGTTTCTGTTTTGTCTGTCTCTTTTGGAGAAATTTCCCAAAAGAAGATGCTCCATCCAAAACAAAATAATATGTTTTTGGCTGGTGCTGAACTTTCATGAAAATGCAGGGCCCACTTGTTGTCTAGCTCATAGTCTTCCAGCTCTGTTGAGGCTGGATTCACACTTTAGTGATGTATGTTACCTGCTGCCATTGGTGTACATTCTACCATATTGGTTAAGAGTGTTGAGATGCCATTGTAGAATGTGCATTAAAATGTGTGTTATCACACTGCAATAATCTGAATGAACTACCATCACAGTTTCCTAGGCAAGGGTTAACCACTGGACATTCTTGAGGGACCCTGGGAAAGCTGAAGATGCCATATCCAATAACAAAGTGCTCCTGAACTGTACACACTGTGGATTTGGGATCCTCTGGGTTTCGAGGATCTTGTGAGAAGGTCTAATGGGGTGCAAGACACAATGTAAGATTTATTTTCTTTTTTCCTGTTTTTTTTTTTTACTCTTTTTTTTTATATTTTTGTTTTAATGTACTGTTTTTTTTATTTGGGAAGGATGTGTGTGTTGGAAGGGGGGGGGGGAATAGATGAGAAATTGACTATTAAATTGCATGCTCATATGATATCATGCTCATATACAACTTTAATGATGCACATACACAGACTGCTTTGTTTAAATACCGCAAAACAATTTGATCTTTTCCTCACTGAAAATTGTTTTTTACACAAGCATTGAAGAAGCTACAGCTCACCTCAATCTCCTGAAATGAGTTGTTAATCATGGCGATCAGCATGTTTAATAAGACAATCACCATGGTCACATTGTACACTCCATAGAGAACATAGCCGATATTCTCTATAAATTTATGTCCGTAGTTGATGACAACTGATTTCACTTCTGAGAGCCCAAAAATTGCCCAGAATAAAGTCTTAAAACTTTCTTCAACTCTGAAAAAAAGAAACATATGAGGATTCTTTGTTACACTGTGATCATTTACCCAGACAGGAGATTTACAGACACATTTCTGACAACTAGTTTATTGATTTTGGTTTCAAAAAGTGTTAAATCCAACTTTTTCTATTTTACTATTTTTGAAAACTCTTATTTCATATAAAGCAGGTACTCAGAAATTATAGTTCTGGTGACTTACTCCAAGTTCTTTTTATTCCTATAGGGATTTTAGATTTTTTGTGTACTTTCTATACCTGTGACACCGGTACAGGAAGTTGTTGGAAAGGTTGTCACTGCTACAAGAAGAAACAGACAGAATGAAACAGGCAGTAATAAAAATGTTGTCAGAAATGATAAGCCCTCCTCACTCTACTAAAAGTGTGTTTTTGACTGTGTCCCCAAAACATCCCCAAAAGAAAAGATAGAAAAATCCCTGCCATACTCCTTGAGGTGAAATGACTGAAGGAGATGGCACTGTCCTATACTGGCATATTCATCTGCACACCAAGATTTTATTTCCATATCTACTTTTATAGAGTAACAATAAGATATGAAGTGAAGGTAACCCTTGCATATGTTATTTTGATTAACTAAAAGCAGACATTGGAATGATATCTTGGTGTACGGAGAACATTTTTGTCTGCATTTCCCCAATGGAGACAGAGAGGGCAATACAAACCTGACAGAGACTGTAACCCTTCCCCACAGTATCCAAAAAAAAAACATTTTGGCTGGAGTTGGGCTTTAATAGCACATATAAATTCCATGGGTTCATTGACTGAATCATATTAACCATGGAACCTGTATAGATTAGATATAACAATAATGAAAACACCCCAGCACAGAGGATCATGAAGGTTGCCACTATTGATCTCCTTATAATTTAAATAAAAGTGATACTAAACCCATGATCCTGCATTCACTATATCTGGTCTCCCACAGTACACAGAGCATGGAAATGCAATTATTTTAGTAAATATAAACTGCTAAATGCCTTTTCTCATCAGCAGTTAGAGCAGTCTTGTGACTTCTATCACTGTTCAGCTAAGCACATGTTAAAGCTTGTAGGAGGAGTTTTCATTTTGCTCTAGGAGGATGCAGAACCCCTGACCTTTGTCTGGGCAGTGCTGATTGGCCCTGTGCTCATCATATGCATATAAACTCCTCTAGCAATACACACCAAATTGAGCATGTGCAGAGTGACTCCACATGGTATGCTTGTCAGTAGATAAGAGGGGGATACTGGAGGAAGGGGAGGATCAGAGAAGACAGAATCAAACAGTCTTTTTACACAAGGCTGAATCAAACAGTCTTTTTACGCAAGGCAGAGGATTAACCCCTTAGGTTCCACAGTGGGTACAACAAGCATGCTTTACTGCATATGCAGACTGATTTTACTGTTGTGGGTTTAGTAACACTTTAACTGGCAACATCTATCTTCAAAACCTGCTAATGCACTCACCCAGAGCAAGCATGCCACCAGTGAAGTAAAGTGATCAGAGCTCTTGCTTTGCATACAATTAGTTAAGCATGACAGTCAATCCTCTGGCATTTTCAGATGAGTAGATCAACAGTACTCCTAAGGTATAGATGGTTAGTTCTTTTTTCATTTAGCCAGTGGGGTGAACAAAAAAACAAACAGGTTCGCCCATCCACATAAGTGAGGTTGGTGATGGAGCTCCCCCTGCCAGGACAATGTATTCTGACAGAGGTTTTCATACACTGATCAGCGGCTGCAGCTTATTGCCTGCAGCTGGTGATCAATGAAAGTTTTCAAGCAGAAGTCGAACAGGGAAGGTCACACACAAATCAAAATTCAGCCAGGCCCCTGCTGAACTGGCCAAATTTTGATCCATCTGTACCCCACCTAAGATGATAAAATAGAAAATCTGTTTTTTCATATTACAATTTTTTGATATTACATCAAAGGCTCAATTCACAAAGCTAATACACCACAATAACAATAGGTTCTGGCTAATATTATGTGTTCTCATGTCATAGGAGAATGATTGTTTTTGCATCATTTTCCAGTGTATGTGCCTTTTGTAAATTGGGAATTGCGAGTTCCAGAAGTACAATTATCAGTTACAATTGTCTTTCATGAAGGCAAACCAGTAAATGTGTCACTGAATTTACATTTGTTTCCTGGTTTACCATGCAAAGTATTTGTGATTCTGTTGAGCCAATCTTGTAATTTACACATCTCTCCTATACTGCACAGCCATGTATCAGCATTATCATTTCTAAACCTAAAACTGAACTAAGCTAAAAAACCAAAGTAAATAAACCAAACTTCATACAACATACAGTATATGGGGTTGATTTACTAAAGGCAAATAGAGTGTGCACTTTGCAAAGTGCAGTTACACTCTGCAAGTGCAGTCGCTCCACAACTTAGTAAATGAGGTAAAGTTACACGTTGCAAAGAATACCCAATTACGTGCAAGGAAAATTGAAAAAAAAAAAAACAGCATTTTGCTCACACATGATTGGACGATGGAAGTCAGCAGAGCTTCTGCTCATTTACTAAGGAAGCAACTGGAGCAACTGCACTTTGCAAGGTGCACAGTCTTTTTGCCTTTAGTAAATCAACCCCTGTGTCTCCTATATTTCAGATATTAGGTCTGCCATGCATGCTTCTATGCTATTCTTATTCCCACCAGAGTCTAACCAAACTTTGGATATAAAAGTGTGGAGCAGGGGCGGACTGACAACTCATGGGGCCCCTGGGCAATAGGGGATCATGGGGCCCCTGTGTCCTTGCCCAAACTCAAAAAAGCCTATGAAAAAGGTACCAGGGGCATCTCATGGGGCCCCCTACTGACCCCGGGCCCTTGGGCAGTGCCCGAGTTTCCAAATGGTCAGTCTGCCCCTGGTGTGGAGTATGTTTTTTTTTACTTTTTTTCACACAGATTCACATAACTTCTGTTTTGGAAAGTGGAATGCAGATCCAAATGATCTGGCCTAAAGCCTTTACTGTCTAGCCTGTCTGTCACTACATTTCCAAGCTACTAAAATCTATACCATTGTATCAAAAAATGTCCAATCAATCTTATTAAAATTTCCTGCATTGCATGTAAGATAAGTTGAATTCGCTATACAGTATACAGTGGGTAAAATATGTATTGAACACGTCACCATTTTTCTCTGTAAATATAGTTCTAAAGGTACTATTGACATGAAATTTTCACCACGTGTCGGTAATAACCCATGCAATCCATACATAAAAGACACCAGCTGAAATCTATCACTACTTAAAAAGTAAACCTGCCCTCTTATCAGTGTAAATTAATATCAGCTGGTTCAGTCTCAACTGTTAGCCTATAAAAAGGTGTCTCATTACCAAGGTGTCACACAAGAAACATCTATTGATAGGTAAAAGCAAAGAGCTCTTTCAAGACCTTTGCAACCTTATTGTTGCAAAACATACTGATGGCATTAGTTACAGAAGGATTTCTAAACTTCTGAATGTTCCAGTGAGCACTGTTGGGGCCATAATCCGGAAGTTTAAAGAATATCATTTCACCATAAACCGGCCATGACCAGGTTCTCCTCGCAATATTTCTGACAGAGGAGTGAAAATAATTATCAGAAGAGTTGTCCAAGAGCCAAGGACTACTTGTGGAGAGCTTAAGAAAGACCTGGAGTTAGCAGGTACAATTGTTTCAAAGAAGTAATGCACTCAACCACCATGCCTGTATGCACACTCACCACGCAAGACTCCATTGCTGAAGAAAAAACATGCTGATTCTTGTTTACTGCACAACATTTAGACAAGCCTGTGAAATACTGGGATAATATAGTCTGGTCAGATGAGACCAAAATTGAACCCTTTGGATGCCATGATACACACCATTTTTGGAAGTCAAATGGCACTGCACATCACCCCAAAAATACCATACCAACAGTGAAATTTGGAGGTGGGAACACCAAGGTGTGGGGCTGTTTTTCAGCATACGGTACTGACAAACTTCATATCATTGAAGGAAGGATGAACAGAAAAATGTACCAAGACATTCTTGATAAAAATCTGCTGCCATCTTCCAGGATGATGAAGATGAAACAAGGGTGGACATTTCAGCAAGACAATGATCACAAACACAAAGTCAAGGAATTGGTTTCAAAGAAAGAAAATAAAGCTGCTAGAATGGCCCAGCCAATCACCTGACTTGAATCCAATTGAAAATCTATGGAAAGAACTAAAAATCAGGGTTCATTGAAGAGGCCCATGGAATCTTTAAGATTTGAAGACTGTTTGTAAGAAGAATGGGTCAAAATTATGCCTGAGCAATGCATGCGACTAGTTTCTCCATACAGGAGGCGTCTTGAAGCTGTCATTACCAACAAAGGATTTTGCATGACGTATTAAATACATTTCAGTTAACGTGTTCAATATTTTCCCTGTGTCATTCCATTTTATTACACATAACTTCATTTCTGAACTTATTTGTTCTGGTTTGTTTGTTTGTATGGATTGCATGGGTTGTTACCGAAATGTGGTGAAAATTTATGTCAATAGCACCTTCAGAAATATATTTACCTAGAAAAATGGTGACGTGTTCAATACTTATTTTACCCGCTGTATATCAAACCTCCATGCCTTTTTATATTCTGACTCTCCTCTCAGAAAAGATACCATAATCTCTATCCTGCTATCTCAAAAAGGAATGACTCCTCTCCAACTATTAGAGGACTCCCATCCAGAGGCAAACCAAACACAAAAAAAAAACCTTCCACCCAACATGTTACATCATATTAAATTAATGTATGGCTTCATCAGGAGTAAACATATTAAATTAAAGTGCTCAAGTGCTTGTGCCCCCAACCAAAATGATCAAATAAAATAAAACTAGACCGCCATTGGGCATGTGCTGGTCCTTGTTAAACCACATTGCCAATGGCAGTCTACTTTTATTTTATTTGATCATTTTGCTTTGGGGCAGCTTAAATCTCCATCTTATTAATTTTCATATGTACAAATCACTATGTGGAAAGATATGTGAATCATAAGGCTCCCGAGGGTTGCAAAATCCTTTACAGTCAATACCTTTAATGTATATATATTGTAACTTTTATTTGTCTGGAAATGTAATCCCTTCCTAAACCATACTGACACCTTCAACCAAAACGAAGACTTCCAATAAAAAACAATGTACCCATAGACAGCTCCTCAGACAGGAGCGCTGCCCTCATGGACCATCATCCTTCTAGAAAACACCACAATCCAAGACAAACCACACTACAATGATTCTGCTAAACTTACGTGGTAAAGGCATCATTTTGTTTAGCTCCAAGGTAATAGGAATACAGGTTAAACATTCCTATCATGAAGGCCACAAACACCATAATAAATATAACCATGAACTTGAAGATGTCTTTTACAGTTCTTCCCAGTGATATCTGCAAAGGGCCAAAGCTTTCATTAGCTGGTAGAATGTAGGCGATGCGTGAGAAGCTAAGGACCACAGCGATTGCATAGAGACCTTCCGATATGATCTGAGGGTCAGAGGGCAGCCATTTTATCCTTGCTGAAAGAGAGAAAGAAAGGCAATGGTATATGTAAGGAACAATGTGATCATACATTGCGCTTTGAGAAGTGAGAAGGGTAAGGGACATGGGAGAGGGCAGAAGCTGAATGTAAACCTTCCATGAGATTAATACTGGAACTGCCATTGCCAAATTCCTTCTTCTTGGTTGTCTACTAGTGGACCCAATGGTTTCAGTATTTTATAAACCAAGAACAATTATAGAGATAAAGAAGTTTTCCTATCTGCATACTTATTTCTTGGCCAGTTACTCAAAATATTGCAGTAAAAGGGTCACCAAATAGCCAAGATTTTTATGGAGAAGAGGTCAGCAATGGCAGCCTCTATGTTTCCCTCATGACAGGTGTACTTTGAAGCAATGATAATACCAAAAGAGAAAAAACAACTTAGAGAAACCCAGGGAAAGGGTTGGAAGCTGAAAATGTATACCTGCAGGTAACTGTGCATACTTGGAGCACCACCCCAAACCTTCCTGTTGCAATCAAATATCTGGCTGTTCTGACAGACAGAGCTCCGACATTTCTAGGTAGTGCTGTAGCTGGTAGCTAAGCCCCGCTCTTACACATTCCTCTTTGCCAACTGCTATGATGGCCCTTATTTGCCAATTGGAATGTGCAGGGGGGCAAAGAGGCAAGCAAGCCTCCCAATGTAATAAATTAAGGATTTAAAAGCCCATTTCCAGGCTCTGATTCCCTCCAAACTCCTGCACTTATGTTCCCCTTTAATACTCTCTGTTTTAAAGTGGAACTTTAAGTAAGAAATCAACATTTGGCAAACAGGCAGTATCTTAATGCAAAAGAGACATACAGGGGTAGATTTACTAAAACTGCTGCACTCAGAACCTGGTTCAGCTGTGCATAATAGCCAATCAGCTACTAACTTCAGCTTGTTCAATTAAGCTTTGGCAATAAAACCTGGAAGTTTCTATGCAGAACCCCCATAATGTCTCTCCTGCAATAAAATTCAATTACCTGCCTGTATGCACTGAGCTGTGCACATGCAATGCTGGTATAAATAAACTCCCGAGCATGTGCCAGATGACGAGTGACAATGAAAATGGCGATTGATACCCGGCAGCTGATCCACATGAAGACGACAGCGACCGCTGGGGAGCTCCGGGAGACCACAGCACTGGATAGCACTGGGCAGAAGTTGAGTATAGTTCCACTTTAATGCTCACTTATAAAGATTTCAGTGCAGGGTTCATGTAAAAGATTCAGTCCACTCAAAACTGGTGTTTCTCCTATCACTTTCGAAAGACATCTTTGTTTCCCAAGCCTATACACCTGGTGTTCCCATTATTAGGGGTTTCCGAACCCTATGCTGGAATTTTATTTGATTGTAAAATCTGAAAAATGAACTCACTTCCAGGTGCGGACTGACAACTCATGGGGCCCCCGGGCAATAGGGGATCATGGGGAACCTGTGTCCTCGCCAACACCCAAAAAAGCCTATGAAAAAGCCAATGAAAGGTACCAGGGGCATCTCATGGGGCCCCCTACTGACTCCGGGCCCTCGGGCAGTGCCCGAGTTCTCGAATGGTCAGTCTGCCCCTACTCCCTTCATTCCTGGGTGCATACTGCCCTAAATATAAGTAATGCTCGCTGCTCCGTCCAGTCACATCTGCTGTCAGCCCCATATAGACTCTTTCTAGCGTCCAGCAGTGGGGCTGGACAGTGAGCCTGTACCTTCCACCCACACCTAAATACTAAAGCCTCCTGCATCGACACTAAGCCCCGGTTATCATATATGCGGCTGTGCAGGCTGCGTTTTGCGCAGGCAAGAGAGCCCATTCATTTGAATGGACTGCCGTGCCCCGTGACACGCAGAGAAGTCCCTGCACTTCTTCTGAAAACGCAGCCCTCATTTCCCAGTAAGGTTGCATTTTCCAGTACGGGCGGCATGCCATTAGAAGTAGTGGCACCTGCCCGTGGGTCTGCATTTCTCTGTGCGGGTAGTGCGGGTACACGGCCCAAGACTGCACAAACACCCTAAATCCCTGAAGTGGGTGGGAACAGAACCAGGTACTATAGTAATAGAACCTCCACAAGAGTTCCCAAGAGGCATAAGAAGTCAGTACATAGCTCACCTTTGCAAATTTACTCATAATCAAGTTATTAATTGAGGGCAGATATTGTTATAACTAGGGGCGGACTGACCATTTGGAAACTCGGGCACTGCCCAAGGGCCCGGGGTCAGTGAGGGGCCCCATGAGATGCCCCTGGTACCTTTTTCATAGGCTTTTTTGAGTTTGGGCAAGGACACAGGGGCCCCATGATCCCCTATTGCCGGGGGCCCATGTGTTGTCAGTCCGCCCCTGGTTATAACTATTCATTGCAAAATAAAAAAAACTCAAAATGTTTTAGATTTGCATAAATTTGTGGTTTTAGCATTCTCACCAAAAGTGTAATATTTTATTTCAGGAGGCAGCGTGGCACTTGTCACATCTTTAATGTTCTCATCATCATCAACAAAGTTCTGTGCTCGGGATGCGTGCCAGAATGCCATGAACCTGGCAATGAAAGAAGCTGCAAAGATTGCCAGCATCCCGAAATCCAGGATATTCCACAGCTCGAACAGGTACTCTCGGGGGCCTTGCGACCAAATCTCCTTACATTCCGACCAGATCATACCTGTGTGAGGGCAACATGGCTGATTAATAAATCCAAAATACACAATTAATTCCAGGCATTTAACGATACAATTCAGATACTAAACATAGCACAATGAGCAGATGTAGCCTTAATCCACCCAGAGAGGATGTAAAGCACTGGAGGACAGATCTGCTCATGGCATTAAGCTAGTTTCAGGATTATTATGACCGCAGTTTGCAGAATAAGGGTCCTTACAATGTGACTGCTTAGAATAGGATTTGAAGATAACCGCTAATACAAATAAATGGAAGGCTTTTACAGACATCTCATACAAATCCCTCCATAACTGCATGTGTGAATATGGCGTGACATATAGTGCACAGAATCAGAGTTTGTGTTTAGTTGTGCACATAGAATAAAGATGAGGAAAGGTAAAGATGAGGAAACTTCACCCACCTATAGATTCAGCCTGGGTTCACACTACAGCGGTGCAGTAAATCCCATGTGATTCGCACAGGAACCGCACCGCACTTCTGTACAAATCACATGCGATTTGTATGCGGTGCGATCAGAGCCATATATTTTGTATGGCTCTATTCGCTCTGCACCCGCACCAAAAACATGCAGGACCCTTTTTTGGTCAGCACTAGAATTGGATCGCATAGGTATTCACGCCTATGCAATCCGATTCTGCCCTTTGCACCGCATTTTGCGGACCGATGTCGGGGGGTTGTTAACTTAACATACACACCCACATCGGTTCGTATGAACGGGGTGCGATTGTGATGCGGTGCGGAATTCGCACTGAAAAAGCTGCAAATTCCATACCGCATCAGTATGAACCCAGGACTCAAACAGATTAAAATCACATATGTACCTGTGTAACAGCAATAAACATAACGGGGGAGATTTACTAAGGCTGCATGCACACGGGGCATTTTGATAACGCTGGTAACGTTAGCTGTGTAAAGTCAAGTTTTTCAACTTTTTTTTAGCATTGTTGCATTAGCGTTTAGTGGTGGTGTTTTCCCATGTTTGCGCTTTAGTTTTTTTTTACCCAGTTTGTGGCGTTTTACCGAGTTTTGCCATATTTTTCAGCGTTAGAGCGTTTTTAGCCCTCATGCACACTGGTTTTTACAGCGGCTGTTTTTTGGCTTTTGACGTTTTTTTCTACAACCAGTAAACTCCCCCGCATGTTATCCCGCATGTTTATCCTGTGTGTCCATACACACATAGACTGTAATCAATGTTTTTTGGCTGGAAAAAAAACCCAGAACTAGTGGGTTTCTAGAGGAGATTTGTAGCTGCAAAAATACTCTAATGCTGAAAAATGTGGCAAAATGCAGTAAAACACGTCGCAAACCGGCCCCCCCAAATTTTTTTGGGGGTAAAAAACCCACTAAAAAACGCAAACATGGGAAACTCCGGTAATCGCAGCAAAACTCAGCTAAACGCTAATGCAAAAACGCTAAAAAAAGTTGATAAAAACGCCCCATGTGCATGGAGTCTTACAGCTAAAAAACGCCTCTAGAAACCCACACCTGTTTTTTTTCCAGCCAAAAAACATCCCAGCTAAAAAACATTGATTCCAGTCTATGTGTGCATGGACACATAGGATAACATGCTGGGGGGTTTACTAGCTGTAGAAAAAAACGTCAAAAGCCAAAAACAGCCGCTGTAAAATGTAAAAACGTCCCGTGTGCATGAGGACTCAAACTTGTGCACTCAGAATCTGGTGCAGATGTGCATGGGAGCCAATCAGCTTCTAACTTCAGCTTCTTCAATTAAGCTTTAACCAAAAAACGTAGAAGATGTCTGGTTACTATGCAAAGTTGCAGCACATTCTGTATGTATGGATAGAGTAAGGAGGTGTTATATACCCTGTCAGGTTGGGTTTTTTTTGTTGCAATCTGTGTGTCTATTGAGGAGATTCCCTTCACTTCCTGTCCCATAACCAAGACAAGATGTGAGAGGAAATCTCTTTAATCACTTGCCCTCCAAAGTATTTACCCCCCTTCCTGACCAGACCATTTTTTGCGATACGGCACTGCGTTACTTTAACTGACAATTGAGCGGTCATGCAACACTGCACCCAAATGAACTTTACACCCTTTTTTCCCCCACTTTCTTTCAGTGGAATTGGATCGCCTCTGCATTTTTTTTTTTGAGCTATAAAAAAAAAGACCGACAATTTTGAGAAAAAAAATATTTTTGACTTTTGCTATTAAACATGTCCAGTAAGAAAATTTTAAAAATTTAATTTCGTCATACATTTAGGTCAAAATGTATTCTGCTACGTCTTCCCCAATACATGTAAATTAATTGGTTTATGTGAAAGTTATAGAGTTTACAAATATATATTAGTACTAGTAATGGCTGTGATCAGCGACTTATCGCAAGACTGCGGCGGCCATTCTGACACTGGGGGGAACTGACTTGGTGTCACGGACATCCCTAGTGACACCAATACAATGATCGGTACTAATAAAAATCACTGACACTGTACTAATGGCACTGGGCAGGAAGGAGCTAACATCTGGGGCGATCAAAGGGTTAACTGTGTGCTGTTTCACATCATGTGCTGTGTGCAGGGGCGGACTGACAACTCATGGGGCCTCCGGGCAATAGGGGATCATGGGGCCCCTGTGTCCTTGCCCAAACTTAAAAAGCCTATGAAAAAAGGTACCAGGGGCATCTTATGGGGCTCCCTACTGACCCTGGGCCCTCGGGCAGTGCCTGAGTTTCCAAATGGTCAGTCCACCCTGGGCTGTGTGTGTGCTTCACTGTAAGCACACTGCTTTGTTTGGCTGTGCTATGCAGTGCCATGCAAAGCAGTGTGCAGGAGCTGACAGGGGAGGGAACTGTATTGTTTACATACAGTTCTCTCCCCCATCAGTAATACTCGGTGATCACCGGGTGCTGGTGAGCAATCACCGGCCGGGACCCAATGATTGACAGGTGAGGCCATGAATGGCAGCGCCACCTACCTGCAAATGCAAAATTACGTATATATATACGTGATTTTGCACACCTGTGCAGCCCTGTAGCAGTATTTCTGCTATAGGGTGGACGGGAAGCGGTTAAAGTGAGAGAATCTCTGGTTCTCACAAGGGGCTCCTATTGGGAGATTGAGGCCATTCCTCCCTATAATCACAAAGATTTACCATACAGGAATATTGTTTTATCTGCTCTGATCCATCAATACATCAAAGCATCAACAACCTTAGAGAAAAAGTTTCTAAGAAGCATGTGCACCAGCAATTTATGTTGCCATCAGAGACGGACTGACCATTTGGAAACTCGGGCACTGCCCGAGGGTCTGGGGTCAGTAGGGGGCCCCATGAGATGCCCCTGGTACCTTTTTCATAGGCTTTTTTTGAGTTTGGGCAAAGACACAGGGGCCCCATGAGTTGTCAGAGTTGTCAGTCCGCCCCTGGTTGCCATTAACATTGACAGAGGAGTAAAAATCCATGAGTTCATTTGAGTACAGAAGTTACAGGAGATAGCCGCAGGATAGCGGCATAATTGTTTGAATTAATAAGTGAGATATACTGTATCATATTTAATGACATCTTCTGTAACAATTTACATCTTAATGCTTTACATGGATTCAAGAGGCAGTGTGTGCAACCTATTGAAGGCATGGTTCACATTGGTCAATTAACTAATTAGCCTCCTACGAGATTTCTAGACAATTGCCTGTTTTTAAAGTTGTTTGGGAATATAACTGCATGTGTGAATATGGCGTGACATATAGTGCACAGAATCAGAGTTTGTGTTTAGTTGTGCACATAGAATAAAGATGAGGAAAGGTGTCTATATACCATAAAGGCAGCAACTTCACCCACCTATAGATTCAGCCTGGGTTCACACTACAGCGGTGCAGTAAATCCCATGTGATTCGCACAGGAACCGCACTGCACTTCTGTACAAATCACATGCGATTTGTATGCGGTGCGATCAGAGCCATATATTTTGTATGGCTCTATTCGCTCTGCACCCGCACCAAAAAACATGCAGGACCCTTTTTTGGTCAGCACTAGAATTGGATCGCATAGGTATTCACGCCTATGCAATCCGATTCTGCCCTTTGCACCGCATTTTGCGGACCGATGTCGGGGGGTTGTTAACTTATCATACACACCCACATCGGTTCGTATGAACGGGGCGCGCGATTGTGATGCGGTGCGGAATTCGCACTGAAAAAGCTGCAAATTCCGCACCGCATCAGTGTGAACCCAGGACTCAAACAGATTAAAATCACATATGTACCTGTGTAACAGCAATAAACATAATGGGGGAGATTTACTAAGGCTGCATGCACACGGGGCATTTTGATAACGCTGGTAACGTTAGCTGTGTAAAGTCAAGTTAAAAACGTGAGTTTTTCAACTTTTTTTTAGCATTTTTGCATTAGCGTTTAGTGGTGTAGGGGGCCCCATGAGATGCCCCTGGTACCTTTTTCATAGGCTTTTTTGAGTTTGGGCAAAGACACAGGGGCCCCATGATTCCCTATTGCCCGGGGGCCCCATGAGTTGTCAGTCCGCCCCTGGTTGCCATTAACATTGACAGAGGAGTAAAAATCCATGAGTTCATTTCAATTCAACCTATTGAAGGCATGGTTCACATTGGTCAATTAACTAATTAGCCTCCTACGAGATTTCTAGACAATTGCCTGTTTTTAAAGTTGTTTGGGAATATTATGGCAAATACTATTATATTGGCAATTAACATAATGTGTATGGAAAATTTTTGGAGTGTGTCTATATCCCCCCCATTTTTGTATTTCTTTTTGATTTTGATCTAATATAATCCCTATCTCACATGCATATAGACACATGCTAGGGCTAGTTTAGACAGAGGTCCAATAACCTACCATGTCTTTGGAGTGTGGAAGGAACCTGGAGCACTGAAATATGTACATTGAGCTGTATGTTACATACTGTATGCAGGACTGTATGGTACATACTCCTGACCCCTTACACTCTCTTTGTCAGCCTTTCTCAACCAGGGTACCCCGGCACCCTGGGGTGCCATGAGGTTTCTTTAGGGGTGCCTTGGCAAAATGTCTAAAAGTTGCACAAAACTTGTATACAAGCCAGAGGGTGGAAGAAGCCCACCTTTTAGTTACACAAAGCCACAGGTTTTCATTGTTCACCATTACTACCGGCATCCTGACAACCAATGACATCATCAGTTGATAAGGAGGATCTCAATTGCCTGCACATCATCCTTGTTTGCCCCTCTCCATCAGTGCTGGGGTCACATCAGTGATGGAGAAAAACTGAGAGAAACACTATAATACTAGTCAGTACCAGTGTGCAAAAGTGTATTTGGTTTAGAAGAATAAATCACCACTAATGTTGGGTGTCCTACATGTGTAGATGTTGTGTTGCTGCATTATATAAAGCTATTAGAATATTTTTTTACATTTTAGAATGCAGTTCCTCAGGACTGTCCATAATTGTAGAGGGTGCCTGGGAACTGTCCATAATTGTAGAGGGTGCCTGGGGACTGTCCATAATTGTAGAGGGTGCCTCAGGACTGTCCATATTTGTAGAGGGTGCCTCAGGACTGTCCATAATTGTAGAGGGTGCCTCGGGACTGTCCATAATTGTAGAGGGTGCCTCGGGACTGTCCATAATTGTAGAGGGTGCCTCAGGACTGTCCATAATTGTAGAGGGTGCCTTGGGACTGTCCATAATTGTAGAGGGTGCCTGGGGACTGTCCATAATTGTAGAGGGTGCCTGGGGACTGTCCATAATTGTAGAGGGTGCCTCAGGACTGTCCATAATTGTAGAGGGTGCCTCGGGACTGTCCATATTTGTAGAGGGTGCCTCGGGACTGTCCATAATTGTAGAGGGTGCCTTGACTGAAAATGGTTGAGAAACACTGCTCTATGTTACATACTCCTGAATCCTACATTTTGTATGTTGCATGCCCCTGACCAATGCACTCTGTATGTTACATACTCCTGACCCCCTACACTCTCTATGTTACATACTCCTGAATCCTATACTTTGTAGGTTGCATGCCCCTGACCAATGCACTCTGTATGTTACATACTCCTGACCCCCTACACTCTCTATGTTACATACTCCTGAATCCTATACTTTGTAGGTTGCATGCCCCTGACCACTGCACTTTGTATGTTACATACTCCTGACCTCTGCATTATGTACATATTATACTCCTGACCACTACACTGCAGATTTTATATGCTATGTTGTGTACATTACATATTCCTGACCTATGCATTCTGTACAGATCTTAATGAGCCTTGCATTCTGCGTATATGCCATATTGTACATCATATACTTCTGATTCTTGCTAGATAGCTCCCAACTATTAAAAAAAAGTTCTCCTTTAAGGTAGGCTCCAACAGAGTGTTAGATCTCTGTCTGTGTGCAGAAAAGCATATGCAAAGGAAAAAGTTTAATTTTTTATATGATTGTGCTGAGGTTTATGTTTGTCTGTGAGACTCTCGCTTTTGGCACAATATTTAAAGCATATATAACCACACCTCTTTATGCCCCTCCCACAGCACAGTGTGGCCATGCCTGCTACTATGCACGCCACCTCATTACTGTTCTCCACGTGCCCATGGGTGCCCTGAGTCTTTATCAACAGCAGCTCTCTTTCCTAACATCAGCTCTAAAACTGAAGTTCTGATTTAAAGTTTATACTTTACAAAGCTGATTTAAGCATCCTAATGGGGATGGGTGTTTTAAATGAATTCTTAACTGGCCATAAATGTTACCATCTACAATTGTACAATTTTCTCTAGAATTACGAAAAACGTAATGCAAGAACCTATCTAAACGTTTCATTACATTTCAATATATGTAAAGCGCTACGTACATTGATGGCGCTATATACCTGTAACAAATAAAAAATATAATTTTTGCATAGCTGTTGGTAAATTTAAAGGGATCTTATACTTACCTGCTCTGTGCAATGGTTTTGCACAGAGCAGCCCCAAGACTCTTCTTCTAAGGCCCCCTGCTGGCACTCCTGGCTCCTCCTCTTCTCTGAGTGTCCCCATAGCAAGCTGCTTGCTCTGGGGGCACTCGTGCATATTCTCTCCCACTCCCTCCTGACTGGCTGTGCTTGACAGCAGCAGGAGCTAATGGCTCCTGGTACTGTCTCTCAGCCAATGAGGAGGCATAGACCCAGGACTGTAGCTGCTCTTGTGCACATTGCTGGATTGCGATCGGGCTCAGGTAAGTGTTAGGAAGGGCTGCAGGGGGCACTGCATACTGAAGGTTTTTCACCTTCATGATTAAAATGCATGAAGGTAAAAATATCTCCAACCTTTAGAACCACTTTAGGTTGTAATGTGCATGGTCACGATCATGATTCTGAGCAATGGAAGGTATCTCCAATCGTTAATGTAATTGGATATCCTCCTGCGCTTATATGGATGACCCTAACTGCTTAGCTGCTGCCACTCACCTTATACCATAAAGTAAACCAATATACAAAAAAAATATAGTGAAGCGCTACTAATAAAAAAATGTTGATAATACAAATTGTGATTATAATAAATAAAGTGATGGGCAATAACACACTGTGCTCTGATCTGCAAGGATCAATAAGGTGGAAATAATAGTGATAAAAATAATTGTAACAATCTTCAGTGATAAATCAAAATTAATCCAAATGACCATAAATATAAATGACCCCCTATACTAACCATTCCAAGTATTTCCTGTTATGCGGTGATGCACTTCTGGGCGCGCGGCCATATTGCTACACCCAGCCCCATGCAGTACACCCATAGTATGTGGTGAAAAGCTACTTCTGTTTGGAGCATATGTGAGTGTAACACTGGCTATTTATTTTTCTCTATTAAACAAACATATTGCACTATGGAGGATATTGTTTTTATGTTTCACTAACATGATCTGGAGTGGAGGTGACGCATGAGAGTTATTGCAGTACCATCCAAGAAGGAATAGTTGCTGAACAGAGGAGCATATGAGATACCTGTCTGTCCCTGGGTGGAGGAAGTAACCTTAAGGATCCAGGTTTAAGGTGATCCTAAAAGTGTGTTGGCCCCTAGGGTCAATGTGTGGAGGTGAGCAGGCATTGCTGCTGTTTGGGGGATATTTTTGACACCTGAGTGAAGATCACCAAAGCACGTCAGCACCTGCATGATTGATTTTGTTGTTTTTTATAGATCACAGTACTAATATTCATTGGACTATTTTTGGGGATTATCAGGCATTTGGATATGTTTATATACTTTATATTTAAGGCACTGCAATTCATTGTTATTTTGCATGGTAATATCACAAGTGTGTTCTCCCTTATTGTAATGAGACAACACGTTTTTTTTTTTGTCACTATACTTGGAATGGTTAGTATAGGGGGTCATTTATATTTATGGTCATTTGGATTCATTTTGATTTATCACTGAAGATTGTTACAATTATTTTTATCACTATTATTTCTACCTTATTGATCCTTGCAGATCAGAGCACAGTGTGTTATTGCCCATCACTTTATTTATTATAATCACAATTTGTATTATCAACATTTTATTAGTAGCGCTTCACTATATTTTTTTGTATATCTCCAATCGTTATCATCTATTAGCCCGAAAGCTTTCCAACTCTCAGCAAGGTTTTTGACATCTCGACTTGTTAAACTTGGTTCTCTAGCACTCAGAATACATAAGAGCAAGCCAGTTCAGTTTAATCTAGGTAGATTTTCCTTTAAATGTCAGTTCTATCAATGTACGGCATTGTGCTGACATGAAAAGTCCCTCACTGCTGCCTAAACTTCTGCTGAGACACAGCACACAGCCCTGTCAATGTTCCTGGCAGGGCACTTAATTGAGGTTCTGTGGCAGGCAGCTTCAAAGAACAAAACATCCTGTGGACATTTAACAAATGTATTCCAAGTTCTTTTTTTCAGATGCTTTACAGCTGCTATCAATAACTGCTTTATGTCTGTTTAGTATGTTCTTTAGTGTTGATATTTTATCAAACTGCTGGGACAGTGATCAACTTAACCTCTATTTTAATATTAGCAGTGATATATTATTGCAACTGGACTTGGACTTCCCTTCAGGCAACTCAGGCATTTGCCAGGAGGGCTGAGACACAACTATAACATGGCCTATTTATGTAAGTGAGTTAATCTGTGACTGAAAAGGAAATTACTTAGACTTCCTCATTTGCTTAATACAAGGTTTTCCTAGACTTCCCTTTGGGCCTGGGAACCCAGTGAGGGGAGATGGACATGACTTCAGATTTGTGAGACTAGGACAGAGCTTCACCTTCCAGCATGACAACAACCCTAAACCTCTTGTGCCCCAAAATACGGTCTGCCAGGGCTCTATTTGCAGTTGGGTCAGTAGCCTGCAGCAGAGTAGGCTGTATATATAGGCTGTGGCCAGAAGCACCTGCTGGCAAGAATTAGGCTCCATGTACACTGCAGCTGATAAACTGACGTTTAGGAGATGTTCAGTGTTTTTTTTTTTCAGCAGCCCCTGAACCCTCCCTAATGTTTTCCTATATGTCCATGTACACTATGTCGTTTACAGGCAATTGAGTTTACAGTCGTTTTTTTTGAACGCACCAAACTTGTGTTTAGGAGTATATTTTATCAGCGTTTCAAACACCAAATGCTTGTAAACATGGCTAATCGTGTTTATAAGCGTTTGCAAATTTTTGTTTAACTCTTCCATTTCCAGATGCTGTCCAGAGCCTTATTTCATCATGAAAAATGCATGCAAAGCGCTTTCCCGGTACTCAAATGGACCTGGTACACCATACTTTGAGGTTTCACATGAAAGAAAATATGTTAGACACTGCTGCAATAATTTCTGCACAGAAATGAGCTGGAACACATCCAAACACCACAGAACAAAAAAAAAAAAAGACAGCTAATCTCAACAAATACTGCTCTCTCTGCTTCTGCTCTCTCTATTTCTCTCACAAGGTCTGAAGTAGTTAATTTTTTACTATTTTTCAGTGCATTCTGGGCATTTTGGAAGGTTAGCTTAAAAAAAAAAAACCTCTAAACGCAAACACTCATAAACACGTTATGCAAACGCGGCTAAACAGACTTTTTTTAACTTATGTTTTCCAGCAGTCAGTCTCCATCGTTCAGAAGTGTGCCGTCTACATGGAGCTTAGTAGATTCTTTTTGGAGGAGCTCCATGCTTCACACACAGTGTGAGCGAGGAGCGGTAGCTGTCAGATTTGTGCAATTCAATGGCCGGCATCACTGCTCTTCACATGCAACTGCTCAACAGAGCCTCTGACCGACCCTGGGCATAGATAATGTACATTCAGAGATGGCGTTCCAGTAGTGTTTCTGGCTGCACACAAAACCATAGCACAGAGTCAGCTACCTCAGAACATAGCAAAGTATCCACCTCTGCAGCCTATGTGAACAGGGCCTACCATGAAAACAAACAGCAGTGATCTGTTTAGCAAAAATTAAAATAAAGCCCACTCCGTGAAGTTTAATTGATGTAGTAGATGTTGGTTTCAGACACAGTCCCTGCCCTAAGTCACACCTCTGTGACGCGTTTCACCCCAATTGGGCTTATTCATAGGGGTCTTCTAATAAACCCAGTTGGGTTAGAATGCGTCATGGGGAATGGATAATGATACTAGCAGGATGTGCTCTCACAGACAAATCCTCAGGGTGGGGTGGTGGGGGTCCTGGGGAGCATTCCTGGGAATTCGTCTTTGCTTTCTCACAGCAGTAATCTGTTTCTGTCTACGTGCTGGGTGGGTGGTACGCATTTCTTTATCTGATTCAGACTTTTCATAAAAACAAAAAATGTTAACTGAATAAAACA